TCAATAGCATAATATATAAAATAAAATCTAGCAATATTTAAATGAGCCAAAAAAAAAGGAAATAAAATATTAATTAATTGGACGCGTGTGGTCGTGTGTGACGATGTTTTGCAATTGTATGTAAACTGGGTTGTGGACACGTGTCCCGAGGGGTGCAAAGAAGTGACTCACGAGATAACCGACTCGGGACACGTGGAGATTTGGTGGACCAGATGAGATTTGGTCCGAGGTATGGACCAGTCCACGTGTGTGCTCCTTTTTGGGTGGGTGGGGTTTTTATTAGTTATTCTATCAATTACTTCTCCGGCCACGTCTTGTCGACTTTCTAACCAACACTTAATCACTAAGTGTTAAACACGAAGATGTCTGGATAAAACCAAAAAGAGAAAACAAAACGACTTAAGCTTTTCTATATGTAAGAACACCGAAAACTGAATCGTGAACTAAAACAAAAGAAAGACTTGAAACTCGAATATTGCGAGAAATATCAGATATCAGCCGCCTTAATTCGTTCAAGTAGGGTATATATAACTCCCTTAGGCATGGAGTATTCTCCAAGTTTTCATATTAATTTTCTTCTCAAAAATAGTGTAGAAACATGGAAAGTAGATCTTCCTTGATTTTCTCTAGATCTCCTTCATGCAACCATGCGTTTTCCCTCCATCCGCCATGCACAAAGATTTCCTACAAAATAATTCCATAATAAGATCATGCAATCTCATATATATAAATATAATATAAACCGAATATAACCAAATATAAATAAAAGAACTTCTCCTTGTAGTTAGCCTAGGGCTTCTTCGATGTGCAGCTGCCGCCGATCTGCTGGGAGTGACGAGGCGAGGTATTTGGGCCAAACATAAGGCTTGATGAAGTGGGCCGAAACAAAGTAATAAGGTTTTGGTTGGGCCGACAGTTTTAATAGCTGTTGCTGGGTCGGATGCCTTTTAAATTTAAGGCCTTAGGGAGAATGGGACATGTTGTGGGCTTAAAATAATTAAAAGGTTGGGCTAAAACCAAGATTCGAGAAAAGATTGGAAACGGCTCAAAATAAATCTACGCGATTTGGATTTGAGAATGAGACTAACTAGGAAAAAATGACGCCCCTTAACCTTATCCTTAAACATTTTACATTTAAATACTCGTTCACTATTTAGACAAATTTACTCCTTTTAACTCTTTTAGTAGACGCAATTATTTTTTAATTTGTTGTGTGGTTTTGTATTTGTTTTGAATTTTTTAATTGTAACCGGTGAGCGGTTTGTAAAGAACACGTTCCGTCTCTTTCATTGTTTTTCTTTTCATCGATGTTCCTACATTCTTGTTGCCTTTTTTCTTCCTCGGCTACATCTAGGACACCGGCAGTCAGACCACATATATGGTTGGAGAAATCAAGCCGCAACCGTATCTGAAGCCACGATTTTGATGCATCCAGATCTAGTCGGTGGTCGATGGTCGATACCATAGATCTTGTAAGGCCTCCGCAGCAACACCACAATCAGAGACGTCAAACCAGAGCCGCCGCAGTCGCCCCTCGTCGGCCCCTTATACGGTCTGTGTTAGTCGTCCGATTGGAATTTTTTGTGAGAATTTTTTATCTGTTCTGCTATTTATCAGGATGAATTTGCCTTGTTGAGTCGCCCCTCGTCGACCCCAACTATGGTCTGTGTTAACCATTGAATTGCTTTTTAGAATTTTTTTTTTTAGATTTTTTTATCTGATTATTATTATGATGAATTTGCCTTGTTGATGCGTTGTAAGTAAGAGAATTTCATATTTACCTAGATTAAATGTTCCTGGACTCTATTTCGACCCATATGACTGTGAAGAGAAGTGGATTGGAATTGATGTTTTTGTGATTTTTATGTTATTGGCACAACATACCAGATTAACAATTTGATTAACAAATTGATCACCACAATTTGGATGAATTTTTTATGTAACTCAGCAGTTCTTGATGTTTGTCTATGTTGGACTTGTGGAATTTTTTGCTCAGAATGAATTGAAGTGTTCGTGTGTTGATTTGTGTTTAGAAAAGTTATATGCAATTTCGTGTGTTGGGGATGAGCCGAGACACAAACGGTTCCTTTCGCCCGACAACATGGCTGTGGCAGACGAGCATGGACGAATCTTCTTTGTGGTTCACCAATCACCACGCAACATCAACGAGCGATTAATGGGGAGGACCATCGGAGGTCGCCATTGGACTAAAGGCTTTAAATTTGATGGATTGGAGACCTAAGAGCAGTGGAAACCAATAGATCACCGACGTCTCAGTTTCGTGGCTCGTTGAATGGAGCTGCCGACCTACGATGATATTTTTCTTTTTGGTTTTTACGTTGTTCGATTGCTATAATGGTATTTTTTTGGTACATACATTACACTAGTATATTTGTTATAAAACTTAATTTCGTGATATTTTATTGTTAATTGAAAGTTGATTACATGTTGCTTTAGCGTTAATTGAAAGTTGATTTCATGTTGCTTTACGAATTTTATATTGTTGTTTTGTTGTTACAATATACACATTCTTGTTCATGTTTATGTTCTGCGCTTTATGTTGTATTTGTTTCAATAATGATAATTTGGTTATATTACTTGTGTGTCTCATCATCATGATAATGTGGTCAATTTTAGTAAAACTAAATTTGATATTGTTTATAATTATTTTTATTTTTTTGGTTGAATTCATTTAATTTTAGGGAATTGATAAATGTTTTTTTATAATTATGTTTCAGTGACTCACTTAGTTTATTTATATTATATAGTTAATAATTGTAGTTAATATATTAATTTTTTTTTTTAATTTTTGAAAAGTATACAAGTTTTATATGGGATATGAATGCATCAATTTTATTGGGGTTGGATTTATGATTTAAAATGGCGATAGGGAAAAAAATATGGAGAAGGGAAAGGGAAAAAATATGAAGAAGGGTATGGGATGTGAGGAAGAACATGGAAAATTAAAAGAGAAAAAAAAATATATATGAGGGGCGTTGAAGAAACATAGAAGAGAGAGAAAGTACGGATAATGACAAAAATTGAGATCATGCAATTTTTTTTATTTCTTTTAATTTTTCGTGTTTGATCAGTTATGTCCAATTTTGGAGTATTTTTGGTAATGTGTGTGAGTAGGAACGATTGTGGAATATCATTGTTAATGGGGAGCAGTTATAAAATTTAGCTAGCATTGCACATAAAAATACAATAAGATGATATTATACTTTATCTTTGTTGAATGAAAATCATGTTTGATTAAACAAGTTCTATGTTCTGTTGTTTTGCACTTCGATAGAATGGTTTATTATAAGGAAAACAGAAGATCATTTTATCGTTTACTTGCGAAACAAGAATTGTTGGTTCACAACCTAGATGGAAATGAACAAACCATCGGAACAGTTGTAGTGTCAATTGTACGATTGGTCTTGACTGATTGGTTGCACTAATACATTTATGTATTATACAGGATCATAGAGAGTAACAGTTTGTTTTATACTGATTGTCGTAAATAAATATAAGTCTCGGTTAATTAGTACGTTCTCACTACTAGAAATTGGTGCATTAGTAACTAAAATTTGCAACTAAATTTTAGTAGTTACAATAGTAACAATGATTTAGATACGGAATATACTTTCAGAAACGGAATGTACTTTAAGCAATTGTATTTGTATTAGTAACTAATTTTGTGACTAACTCTCTATGTTACAAATACATATAGATGGTTTCAAGTTAAATACTTAAAATTGTAGCATATTATAATTTATATAATTTTAATATAAAATATAAATATTTCATTTATCGTCTTTACAAGCCTCGAACACTAGAGCAAGGTTCATACGGAGCTAGTTTAATAAAAATGCTTGAAGTGACTAAATGAGCTAAACTCAATGCCCCACTTTCTTTTCTAAAAGTTCAATTAGTAGATCACACTACAACAAAAGGGAGTTCTAACAACATAAATACGGGGAATTTTTTGATAAGTGTATTTTAAATATGTGTTTTTTAATAAGTGTATTTAAAACATGAAGTTATTTTATTTAATTTAATTTTTATTTTCGAGCTTGAATGAGTTCGAACGAACATCTCATGCTAATCAAATGAGTTTAAAACCAAGCGAAATCGAAACGATACAATTTTTTTAAATAACATTTAATACTACAATGAAATTATTGAATTATTAGTGTTAGTTTTATTGATCTTTTTCGGCTTTTTGTTTGGTACCTTTATTTTTTATTTAAATTATT